GTCAGAAAACACAGACAGGAAGATAAGATGGTTTCTGTGATGCAGTAGTAATAGAACACATAATGTATAACTCTTAGGGCTGCTTGATATAAATCATCCTTCACCCTTATATACCTAAGTCTGCTTTTGAAGAGCTTGGTTAGAGATTGATGGATAAGTAGGGGAATATTGACATACATGGAAAAACATAATTTTATTTATTTTGTATATATGAAATACGAACATATCACCCATTGTGTGTTGGGCTCCAGCAACAGCAGAAATTCACTTTCCTGTCAGAGTTGATCTGCCTGAGGGTAAGCACTACTGAGAGACCTGGACAGGCTGGATTGGTGCTCTAAGGCCAATTGCATGAAATTCAGCTGGGTGACATTCTGGGTCCTGCACCTGTGTCACAGCAACCTCGTGCAATGCTACAGGCTTGGGGAAGAGTGTCTGAAAGCTGCCTGCTGGAAAGGGACCTTGGGGTGTGGGTCATCAGCACCAATGGGGCTTCAGTGTGAATACTCTCTTCAGCTTTGAGCCTCCTCACTGCAAGAAGGACATTAAGGTACTGCAGCATGTCCAGAGAAGGACAACAGAACTGGTGAAGGGTCACAAGCACAAGTCTTTTGAGGAGCAGCTCAGGGAGCTGGAGCTGTTTAGCCTGGACACTGAGGGGTGAACTAATTATTTTCTATATTATATATATAGAAATATATCTATATTATATACATATAATTGTTTTCTATAACTACCTCACAGGAGGCTGCAGTAAGGTGGGCATTGCTCTCCTTTCCTATATAGCAAGTGACAGGACAGGAGGAAATGGACTCAAGTTGCACCAGTGAAGGTTTAGATTGGACTACTGGAAACATTTCATCACTGTAAGGTGATGAGGCACTGGAACCACCTGCCCAATAAAGTGATATCCATCCCCAGAAATGTTCAAAAATTGTGTAGATAGATGTATCTTGGAGATATGGTTTAGTGGTGAACATGGTGGTGATGCTACTTTAATGGTTGAACTTGATGATCTTAGAGATCTTTCCCAACTTTAGTAATTCTGGGAATCTATGATAAAATTCTGCAGTCTGTGCACTTTAATTTGCTCCTGATAAGACTTTGCTATTTAAGAGCAAAATAGCCTGGTTTACATGGAAGTCTCTATCTGTGAATGTCATCTACATTCAGTTGAGGATCTGGCTCTGTCTTGATGAATCTGGGAACAAAAAAACTTTTTACAAGTATCTTTTGAGTTCAGGGATTTGTTTGTTTTTCAAACACATCTTTTGGTGGATGCCTCAGCTTGGATGAATATCTCTGAGCACCATCAGATGTAGCAGTGTTACAGGAATATACACCTGTGTAATCACATGGGGCTCCCATCTGCTTCATCCTGAGGCTGGCAGGTGACATCTTCTGTACCAAGCTGCAGGATTAAGGAGCGTGCTGGTCCATGAAGACCATCATGGTTGATGCAGTGTGTATTGACCTGCACTACTGCATGTCACAACTGAATGCCAACCCCACCTGTCTTGGAAGAAGAGTGTGCAAAAGCCCCTGATGCCAGCAGACGTTGTCAAATATTGAAGGTTGATGTGTTATTTTACAGTGGAATGACCAGGTAAAGAAAGGGGAAAGCAATTACAGCCTGTAACGTGGAAAGGGGTTCTATTTAAATATTTAAATTATTAATTTTTATATCTATAAAGAATATATGTATAATAAGGAGAAAGACACATTACTTTAGGTCACTGTAAGTATATATTTGTAGTTTGAGTGCAGAAATAGAGACTTTGATGAGATGAAAAATGTCATCATTTGTCTCTATTTTGAATATTAGGGTACATTTACAATTATAGAGCCGGAATATTTGAAGGAAATTTGAAGGAAATGTTGATTGAACCATTTTCATATGGTCTCTGTGCTGTATCTGGAAAAACACAATGATTTCTCTAAACACATTGCAGTGCTGACAGTCAAAGCAGCATTTATCTTACAGTCCTTCCTCAGCAAATTCTGCTACAAGTCCTGACAGTTTGAGAAGGTTAGTTATTTGTAGGTTCTTCACTCAAGGATTACAGTCTGTGTCAACAGTGAAATTGAACCTCCAAAGTTCCCATGGGTCTCAAAGATTTAGGTAAGTGCTGAGAAGATCTAAACCACAAAAGCTTTGTTATCTATTTGCAAACTGCAATTTCTGTTTATGAGCTGAACTTTTAACCTACTGCCCTCTGAATGTTCCCTCTCTCACTATCTTCCAACCCTTCTTAATCATAGTCTTAACCACTCAGCTCTCTTATGCACCTGTATTTTTACAAGAGAGCTGGTGTACACTGTGTCCTTCCACAGGGCTGAGTCTTCTTTCTGCAATCTCATCACTTGGGCTTGGTTTTTGTTCTAAGGCACGGGTAGAGCGGACAGGCAGTTCAGGAATTGCACTTTGCAGGGATCAAATTGCAAATTCTTGTAATTGAACTCTGAGAGCAGCTGATAATAGGGTATGTGGTTGGTAGTACTGCAGGAAGTTTCAGGTGAGGGTCATTTTATGAATGCTTATTATCACTTCAAAGTGCTACACAGAGAAGCTGAGAGAAAGGAGAGTAAAATGATGGAAAAAATGGATGTTTCTTGCAGCCACTAATTTGTATCAGGAAAGGGTGATGAACTTTTGGGAAGCTTTGTGCTTTCTGCCAAGGGACCAAAGAAACAAGCTCTCTCCTCCTTTGCCATTTAATAAATGAAAAATTGGGAGATGAAATCACTCTGCATTTTGTACCTTTCTAGAGCTTATGGGAAGCCAGTGAGAAATACTATATGTTTTCACTAGGCAGGATCATCTTAAGATGCAAACTGATTTAGGTCATTGAAGTTAAACTGATGTTTCCTGTGTAGGAATCTGGTGTGGAGTGATAATGCACTAGAAGCACTTCAGACTTGTGTGTCTCTATTTAAAGACTATCAGGGGAAAAACATGCATTGAGTAGAACAGAATTCATACTCAAGAATGTATGCTCCCTTCTGTTTTTTCAAAATCCCTGGATCTTAAACATTGCTACAGAAATAATTTGAAGAGTTTAAATATTTAATTATACTTTATCTGAATATTAAATACATAGTTAGCTTTGTGGCTCAGTATCATTAATGAATCTTCAAAGATGGAAGAGAAGGTTACAGTAGCTGGAGAAGAGTTGGGAGCTGGGGTAACTTTTCTATTAGTAAGAAACATTAAAAAAAAAAGAAGCCTGAAATATACAATACATCACAAACTACACAGTGAGCAGAAGGCTATAAAGGCAAAAAGCAAAAGCAGGTCACATTTAGAGATCTTATTTAAGAGTTTATTTCCATTTTATTCAGAATCTGTTTGAATAGAATAAAGATTTATATTTGTTGTAAAATATAGCAGAAAGCATTTCCAAGATTTTCAGCTATAAAGGATCTTCACAGGGAGTATGTAAGATATGGACACAGGTGAATGATGGTGTGCCTTTGGGCATGACAACTAAAACAGCCATGAAAATTGAATTTCTTATAGTCTTGGAAAAATAGCTTCACTGTGCTAAAGGATTAATTTCCACCTCATGAGTAAGAATATCAGTTCCTGTTTTGATAAAGTAGCAAATCTAAAAGATAACAAACTCCCAGTTATCTCCAAGGCATCCACAAACTGGTGAGCCCAAAGAGCTTTTCCACGCTCACTATGTTCATATGAAGAGCAAGGAATTCCTTCTGCAGCAATACCTTGGACTTGAAGCCAGACATCTGGACATATAAAAGCCCTAAACTGCCTCCTTTTTCACATTAAGTCAACCAAAATCTTAAATGTTCTAAATTTTCTGAATGTTCTAAATGTTCAAGCCAATTTGCATGGAGAACTTAAAAGATTGATTTAGGAACTTTTAGACAATTGCCTTAAAACTTGGCCTATTATTTAAACATAAATTTCAGTTAGCTGAAAATTCCTATGTAATTTTCAAGGACCTCTGCTCTACTTAAATTTGTAGCCCTTCACCTTTTCCTAGAGGTCAGAGAAAAATATAGAAGATCCTCACAGATTATTAACACAAAGAAGGCATTTAATTACAGCATTTTAATGCAGAATCATCTTTGAATAATCTCTCTCAGTCACAGAATCATAGTGAAATATTTCCTTTCTGGCTGGATCCTCAAAAGACAAAATATTTCAGCATGTGGTCAGTGCCAGGTCATGCCAGGTGGTGCAGATCTAAATTACTGGAGGGCATCATGGACATGTGGTGAGGTACTTCTGTCTCTCAACTCCTAACATGTCTTTTGTTTATTGTCTGATGTGTTCAACGCTTGACAAAATTAGGATTCATTTCCTTCATAATCACGTGGGGGTGTCAGGAATGAGGTCTCTATCCTTGTGGAATAAGAGGAAGCAGAGGCTGATTTTCCACTCATGCCTTTAGTTAATGGGTAGCAAGCACAAGTGAACAGCTTCTTCAGTCCTTCATCTTTTCCTACTGTGTCTGTTTTTTCCTGTGTGTGTATCTCCTGGGAAGGCAGAGTCTGTGAAAGTGAATGAATGGGACTCGGAACACTCTGAGCTCTTCCTTTTCCCATGGCAATACTTGCTACCACAGTATTTTATGTGATGGGGGACTCTTTAATATAAACAAAATGATATTTTCTCACTCCATTAATATTCAGTATGTTTTCTGAATATTTTTCACTATACAGGTTTGTAAAAAAAACCAAACTGTTGTGTTTCTAACATTGCTGTATCTTACTGATATTTCAAGAACATGGGAAAAATTCTTTGTCTCTGATTTTGAAAAATCTAGAATCGATTTCTTCTCAAAAATCACAGCCCCAAAATTAACTGTGTAAAGATTTGAAGGAAATGTGGGTTCTAATAATACCCTGAGAGCTTAACTCTAATCTAATCACTGAAACAGTGGGGAAGGTGAAGGATCCACTAATGTCAGCTCCTGTTTTGCATTGATTTAATCAAACCAAACCATTTAAACTGACAGCTGTTGTTTCTCAGAGTGGACTGGGGGCTGCAGTGTTACAGCATAAAACGTGAGCTGCTTGTACTTGGAGACTGGTGAGAAATCTCTGCTTGTATGGGCATAGAGCAGCTCAGTGCAGGATGTGGGAGAGCTGAGTTTATCAGTGTGCTTGCAGCAAAGTGGCCTGGATTTGGCATAGGAAGGCTTCTCATCCATTTTGGAAAATAACTTTGGGTGGTGCCGTATTCAGGGATGCAAAGATACCTTTTGAGAAGATGACAGCGTGATGTGCTAAAACTGAGAGACACACCTGTTGTGCTGGTTCTGAAAGAAAGTGGGATTTATTGTGGCATAAGAGCAAAGGGTGAGCTCCTTTGCTCCTTCTGCTTCTCTTCTTGTTTATCAAGTAGCAGATGTGATAAAAGAGGGATTCAACATCCAGTCAATATCATAGCTGTATCTAGGCAGGCAGCTGACCTATGGGATTTTGAGAAGTTTCTTGCTCTGTATGTATAAATGTTCCTTACTTATAATAGTCTTTTCTTTAAAAAAAATACGTTGTGCATTTTCTTTTGCAACAGATTTCAGGTTTTCATCCTACCAGCTGCTGAGCACTTCCAGCAATGATCTGACTGCTTTCAGTTTGACTGTATGACCATGGCATCTGAGGACTAAGTACCTTGGAGAAATGAATCCTGTTTATTCTGACATTGCTTTTTTCACTTCTTGCTTGAAAATGCTGTTCCTATCTACCTGCTCATGATAATTAAGGAATAAAGAAACAGCACCAAAACACAGTAAAAAGCCAAACTAAATCTTTCAAAAGTGGGACTGGACCATTTCTCAACTCAGCTCTGTGGCAGCACAGTTTAATGTTACTTGTGAGCCTGTCCTAGATATAAAGCCACTGAGGAGTGCAGCAGGCAAATGCCAGGCCACCTGATTGCACCTAATTAATTTATGAGATTGCAATACTTCTGTCAAGTGCCAAGCAAAGTTTTCTGCTTGCACTGACTGTTGCCAGAGTTGCAATACTGAGCAGGGTTAGGCAGCTGCTAAATAATTCATGGGGTGAAGTGTGTTTAAAAAATGCCTTCTGATAAATTTCCATTTTTATAGACAATCCAAAGAGTCAATATACCTGTCTGACTTTGTATCAATAGCTGTAAGCTCATGGCTGATGCCATGCCTTCCTGAGCAGCCTGGAGCACAGGGAACAAGAACACATTGGGCTGTCTCTCAATATTGTTCTATATCATGCAGGCAATAAAATTGCTAGGAGGCTGACTGTTGCCTAATTTTTTTTCTGTATTGAAAATATTTATTTTAGCTTTTTTTTTTTCCAGACATTTGTCAATATTTTTCATTTGCCATCTTTCCCACTATGAAACAAAAAAAAAACCCACCCCTCTATATTTGTGCATTTATGCTTTGGCTAGACAGCATTTCTGCATAGCCTTTTTGGTTTTATATCTGCAAAGGTGAATACCACTGCAAAGCAGTGCAATCTGGGGATGGCAATGAGAGCTGAATATTCTGACTGAGTTTGCAGGCATTAAAGGATCCAGCAGCTGCAGGATGATACTGGCAGGGATTCACACAGCAGTAGCTGATGTCTGGGCTAATGGGAGGCTTTGCTCTGTACTCCTGGACGCTCTGAACCCATCTCTGCTTGTTCTCTTGCCAACCTGAGGCTGGCCAATAGACAAAATGCAATTGGTTGGGTCTTTCCTTTGCCTAATGGATGCTGAAGTGAATTCTGCAAACTCAGTCTGATTTAATTTATGGCAGTGAATCATTATGTGTTTTTTAACAGGAGTTTGTGTGCACAGATTTTGTCCAGGAGCCCACTTTGAAAAAAAATATATATTTCTTTGTATTGTGCACTCTTCTGTTTACATGTGAGTGTTTCCATTGGCTGTACTGGATTTCTAATAAAATTATCTTCAAAAAATTAGGGGTCATTTTTCCAAAGGAGTTGCAATCTGGATTGCATTCTCCACAATCTCAGATAAAGTACATTAAATAAGGATATGTATGCATAGGAGCAGCGGTTGCCTCCTGCATATTCAGAGTGAGTGCTCACTATTCTGGAATCACAAAAGAAACAAAGCTATTTTTCAGATATAAATCATGCAAACTCTCTTGTCTCCATAGTCTTCTAAACACCTCAAAAAATGCACTTTGGATTAAATTTGCCAAGACACAAAGCGTGCACTGAAAGGTATTAAGAATTTGACACACTGGTATTTCCAAACATTTTAAAAGTCCATCCTTTTTTCTTGACACACTTTAGTCCCAAGTGACCATTGTTTTAGATGAATGGTCATTCTGAAAATAAATACAGGAATGTGGGATTAAGTACCTAGCAGCAGGAGTCTTAAAGAAGAGACAAATTAAACAGGTGGCTTACTAGTTTAATAAATTCAGTATGTATATTCTCAGTTGGCTTCTGTGCCATTTTTCCCCCAAATTTCAGGTAATCATGTAGAAGCAGAAACTTACAACTAGTAATAAGGTTGAATCAAAAGATTTACAGTACATTTCTGTGACTCACACACTTAAATATGTAATACTAATGATGAGGTAGATAAAAAGACATTTTGGTCAGACCCTACAGCCGGGTTTTATTTTCTTTACTTTGGGCTGTATTTTGTGTGTGATGTATTACTTTCCTCCTAGCACATAATATTTATACATTCTTAATTCCTGCAAAATGCAAGTTTTTATGACCCTTGGGGCTTTATCTGTTCCTGAATGCTTCTACATATTATAAGATTTGGAGGGTAGTACTCTATATATAATACATTTCTTAGATGATATTGCTTGTTAAACAGTATTGAACGCAGCAGTTGCTGGCCAAAGACTCCACAAAGTCAGGGTTCAGGTCTCACTGTTAATGAACTGCCTCAGTTCAGCTATAAAAAAAAAAAGGAAAATAAATGGGGGATAATTCAGATTAAGTTCCTTAGACAGTGTTATACAGGACTACAAGTTAAATAATCCACTGAAATTTAACATTTTCTCTCTTATAAGTCCAGGCTGATGGAAAAATGCAAGAGAAGTCTTTCCTCCCAGTGTTTTTTTGATAGACTGAATAATTTTATGGATAGGCTCCTGAAAGACATCAGCATCCTAGCTGGGGTGCTCATGCAGCATAGAGCAGGTGGTCATAATTCTGAAACTTATAACGAGCACAGAACCAAATTAGCTAGAATCAAATGCCATTTGTGAGTGGGTGACTAAGGCAAGAAAACACCAATACACCATAGTAGGATATATAATAGGGATACAGTACTATTCTGCACAACAAAGCTAGAGCTATGCACTGTAGCTCACAGTTTAAAATTAAATTATTCCAATTTCTGTTTCTCCAAACACAGGAATTCTGTTGAATGATGAAGGAAAGTTCATCTTGCAGTATTCACTCTTATTAGAAACAGATTGTGCTGTTGCCAGTGCTGATACACTCTGGGTCTGCTGTGGTCCAAGTCCTTCAGTACATTAACATAATAAGGACAAAGATAAGATATAGATGATAATTGTTGTGCTTTTTTTTCTCTGTTCTCCCTTATTGTTGTTTGTAAGCCTTGGGATATTTAGAAGGCACAGAAAATGCAAGCCATTACAGTAATTGCAACTGTAATTTAAAAATGCAATTTGGATGTGAATACATGGATATATTACTGGATATAAGAGAATGACAGACCTGTTTCAACCTGAGTTGTAGGGATGAATAACTTATGGTCCTCCTTTAATAGTGCATTACCTCTGTCTTTTTTCTATTTTCTTTTTCTTCTTTTTTTTTCTTTTTTTTTTTTTTATTAAAGAATCCCTCATTTTCTACTGGGCTTTAAAAACTTTCTCAATGCCTCATAAACTCTGTACAGGCTTGTATTTGAAGGGGAAGTTAACGACTTGAAACAAAATGACAAATGTATCAGTCACATTTTCCCATTCTGTATACTACCAGGGAGAAAAAGAGATTATTTTCTAGGTTTGCAATTAAAATTAATGAGGTGCTATAAACCAAAATATGTGCTTCAGGATGAGAAGTGGTAGATTATAATCAATTTTTATGTGTGTATGTAGATTATAATGAATCCATTAGATTGCTTTTATATTCATGGTATTAATGGTTTCTCTGATTTGCTTGGCATTTTAAACTCACGTAAGAGATTCAGTACCTTGAACAGCACAAATATTAATTCCTGAGGAAGGAGGAATCAATATCTTACCTTCTATTTAATTGAAATTAAAGCAAAAGCTTCCCATCATAATTTTGAGGATACCCTTGAGAAATCCTGAAACAGATTTGTCTTAATTTAGGGGGTTGATGTCCAGCAAGCTGCCATGCAAGGAATTCAGTGAATTTGCAGCATCTGTGGTTCATCCTACTAAATTCCTCTGGAAACAGCCTTGGGCTACAGCAAATCTTAAGTTGCTCACTATTTCCAAGCCAAAGTTGATTGCATGCACATGGTGAATGCAAGGCAGGTAGTGTGCTCTAATACTCTTTCCATTTCACTGTGAGCTGACTGATCACTGTCTGTGAATATCTTTTAGCAAAGTTTCTATAAATTAACATGTGGATTAATTCATGGGTGATATTGGGTGCTTTAGCAAGAAAAAAAAGAAAAAAAACCCAAAAAAACAATTGAAATAATGTTTAAAGGTCCACAAATAATAACATGTTCCCTCAGCTTTCTTGGCCAATATTGCAGAATCGCAGAATAACAGAGTTCTAAGGGAATCTCTGGAGATCATCTTCATGCTGCTTCTTGATTTAGTTGATAAAGTGGAACACATGTCCTCTATTGAATTTAGTCCAATTGGAGCCCATACAAAGCAAATATGTGCTTATAAGTGCTTTTCTACTTCCTAAAAGGAATTCAGGAATTCTTCCCGAAAGGACTTTCAGGAATTTTCATTACCTTGACATGCTATGATGATAGTCTGCTTCAATCTACACAACCTGTCTTTGAGTCTATTTGGATTTTTAAAGAAAACTGTGCATTATCTCCTTTCTCACTGTTTAATTAGATTATAGAACACCAAACATCCAAAAATAGCACAACCACAGAAGTAATAAAAACTGTGGCATGATGTATCCATAATGCACACACTAAACCTGTATGAAAGACACCAGAAAATAGTCATTTCTCATTTATAACTCATCGCTAGAAAAGATTTAATATCTGTTACTTCAGTGGGATTAGGGCTGCTTTTCTGCAACAGGAGCTCACATACCAAGTAAAACAGAAAAAGACAGAACCTATTCAGGTGTAAAATAGTTTCAAATCAATGAAAATCAGGTAGTGCAGAGTAAAGGGGAGGAAGCTCTGTGTTAGTAGCATCCTAAATTTTAACTAACCCAAATTTTAACTTTAACCCAAAATTGTATTACAGAAGTCTAACTGGTGCTTCTATGTAATTGTTATTCTATACTATATAGAATATAGCATTATATTCTATACTATTCTATTCAACTATACTATACTATAGTACTATATATAATATAGTATATTCTATACTATATCTAAAAGAAAAATGGATCCTGCATAAACTTCTTAGTACAAATAGTGCAAGAGAGTTTAAGCATTAGTGTGTGGGTATTAAAACAATAATAATTTTGTTCTAATTAGTCTCATTCTGTATTAAGTCATATCATCTGTCTCCTGCTCTTGATCATATGAGTAGAATGATATGGAAAAGCACATGATCTTAAATAACCTTTTTCATCTTCTGCAGCTCTCTTTCTTTCTGTACACGATGTTTATGTTTTCTATTAGCAGAC